TTCGGAGGATCTGAGATTTTCAGCTGGACTGTCTGTATCACACTGCACTGAGCTAGAGTTTCACGTAAAGGTGCAGTCCTAAGTGGCGTGGTAAAGGCTGAGCTTAAAAGATCTGTTTCCTGTTCATTCCCACAAATCTCAAGACCTGAACTTGGTTAATTTAAGCTTTTTAGGGAATGGAGGGGAAGAAGCTCTAGGAACTGAATAACCTGGGACCTGCTGACAAGTTCCCCTAAGCTCTGAATTGTAACTGATCTCTGGTGATGCACCTAATTGAACCCCCTCGCCCATCCGCATGGTTCAAAGGCTGGAGCATAACCAGGAAGGGAGGTAGTATTTCTGGTACAACTCTGCTGGAAGCCCTGGATTCCATTATCCCTCCTTCCTGGCTCATCAACAAACCCCTCTGACTGCCCCTGCAGGATGTCTACAAAATCGGCGGTGAGCGAGTGCGCGGGGGATAGTGGTTCCCATCAGGGCTGGGATGATAGAACTGTCTACAAAAAGGAGCATGTAAAATGGTGGCTGCCGTTGTAAGTGCTGTAGTTCCACGTATACTGCAGCTCACATGGACTTTGCACACCTCCCTACTGAGGGTATGTCTACACTTGCACCCTTGCAGTTGTGTGCAGCGTGCTGTAGGCCCATGTGCGGCTAGCTGCAGAGGTGCACGCTATGGGTCTGTGTGCGCTTACGTGTGGCCGGCTGTGGAGCTGCACGCTATGGGTCTGTGTGTGGCTGGCTGTATTGTATTCCCCATACGATGAGGTTTACCAGTTATTTCAAGAGAAGGGTTTTCTCTCAAAATAACCGCGTCTTAATAGTGTCTGTTATTTCAAAATAGCACCATTTTGAAATAGCGCCATAACGCAAATATGCAAATGAAGTGCGGGATATTTAAATCCCGGCTTCATTTGCAATTTCGAATGTCTGCATTTGCATCCCTCTCTCGAAAGAGGGTTCAAGTGTAGACATGCCCTCAATGTCTGCTTGGGCTAGAGATGTCATCCCATCCCCTCATGGCAGCGCTGGGCTGACCTAGGTCCCCTTACTGCCCAAAAGGCTGAGCAGAAAATGCTGGCAGTCTTTGCTTGTGGCATCTCCTATTCCTTCCCTGTTCTTTTTATCAGTAACATCTTAGCTATTTAACACCAGACTCACCAGTTCTCGTCTCCCTCAGGCATCGGAACTGTCCCCGTGGGCCGTGTGGAGACTGGTTTCATGAAGGCTGGCATGGTCGTGACCTTTGCCCCCAGCAACATTACCACAGAGGTGAAATCAGTGGCAATGCACCACGAGGCTCTGGCAGAGGCACTGCCGGGTGACAACGTTGGGTTCAATGTGAAGAACGTGTCTGTGAAAGACATCCGCCGTGGGAACGTGGCTGGAGACAGCAAGACCGACCCTCCCATGGAGACTGGCAGCTTCACCTCTCAGGTTAGCGATGTACTAATTTCAACTCACTTCAGTGTATCTTGCAGTGCCTGAATGTGTATACAATGCTATAAAAGCCTGAAAATATCTAATATTTTAAAATCCCTATTGCTGCCCACCTCCTTGAAGAGGGATAACTTTTTCTTTTGCAGATCATCATCCTGAACCACCCTGGCCAGATTGCCACACTGCTCACATCGCCTGCAAAGTCTCAGAGCTCAAGGAGAAGATCGACCACAGGTCTGGCAAGAAGCTGGAGGGCAATCGCAAGGCACTGAAGTCTGGAGATGCTGCCATTGTGCATATGATCCCTGACAAACCCATGTGTGTGGAGAGCTTCTCTGAGTACGCACCTCTTGGTAAGTTTGCATACTCCTATTGGTCCTAGTCAGGCTCTTGCTGAGTCTGTCTAAACATCTCTTAACATTGGACCTCCATTGGCAATCTAATGAATCATTGGATTCAGCTTTAAGAAAGTCTCCTCCATACCAGTGGAAGGTGAACTCAGGCCTCCCCCATCAGTAGCTTTAGTAATGCCTTGCAGAAGCATTTTATTAATCCACAAATTGCAGCTCCCAAACCAAACTCCCAGCCTTAACCTAGACACCGCTCCCACCATCCATGGAAGGCTTCTTAATCGATCTTTGTCTTTTAATGATGCTCTTCTCTGCAGGTCGCTTTGCTGTTCGTGACACAAGGCAGATAGTGGCCGTGGGAGTGATCAAGGCTGTCGAGAAGAAGGCTGGTGGACCTGCCAAGATCACCAGGTCAGCAGTGAAGGCCAGTAAGAAGTGATTTCTCCAAGTTCTCAATGTGCCAGCCTGGGCTCCCACAGTAGGTGTCTCTGAGCAAAGCCTCCCCCCTTCTCCCGATCACAGATCAACGTCTGGACTCGCTTAGCCAGGACTGGCTCCTGAGCAGAAAAACACACTGGAAGAGCTTCCAAAAGAAAGGAAGGAGAGGAATTGTTTTAAATGTTGGGTTGGTGGTTGCACTTGTGTGGGGTTTTCCTTGGTTTTGCTCTCTTGTGGTATGAATAAAGGATGAATTCTGCTTCAGTGATTTGGTCTCCTTCAGCTAGGAGTCTCTCTGCATTTAGAGTGTAACTTAAGGAGTAAGCGCTTCATGTCTTCAAATCAGCCTACCAACATGGTTGTAGTCAACTGGTGGCTGACGACCAACTGCCAGGGCTGCTCTAACCTACACTAGCCTGCTTGAAAGAGTCAGCACAATTCACAACCTCTTAAACATATGTTGGGAAACTAACACAGCGAGGCACAGGCTATCCAATACGTTTCTGGACTGCATTGGAGACAACTTTCTGTTTCAGAAGTTTGAAAAAGCTACCAGAGGAGAAGCTGTTCTGGATTTGGTTTTAACAAATAGGGAGGAACTAGTTGAGAACTTGAAAGTGGAAGACAGTATAGGGGACAGTGATCACGAAATAATAGAGTTCATGATCTTAAGGAAAGGTAGAAGGGAGACCAGCACAATTGAGGTTATGGATTTCAGGAAGGCAGATTTTGATAAGCTCAGAGAACTTGTAGGTAAGGTCCCATGGGAAGCAAGACTGAAGGGAAAAACAACTGAGGAGAGTTGGAAGTATTTCAAAGGGACGTTGTTAAGGGCCCAAAAGCAAACAATTCCGCTGTGTAGGAAAGATAGAAAATATGGCAAAAGACCAGCTTGGCTTAACAAGGAGATCTTGCATGATCTCAAAATAAAAAAGGAGTCATATAAAAAATGGAAACTAGGACAACTAACAAAGGATGAATATAGGCAAGCAACACGGGAATGCAGGGGCAAGATTAGAAAGGCAAAGGCACAAAATGAGATCAAACTAGCTACAGGCATAAAGGGAAACAAGAAGACCTTTTATAAATACATTAAAAGCAAGAGGAAGACCAAGGACAGGGTAGGCCCACTGCTTAGTGAGGAGGGAGAAGCAGTAACAGGGAACTTGGAAATGGCGGAGATGCTCAATGACTTCTTTGTTTCGGTCTTCACCGAGAAGTCTGGAGGTGTGCCTAACGTAGTGAATACAAGCAGAGAGAGGGTAAGTTTAGAAGATAGGATACACAAAGAACAAGTTAAAAATCACTTAGGAAAGTTAGATGTCAGCAAGTCACCAGGTCCTGATGAAATGCATCCCAGGATACTCAAGGAGCTGATAGAGGAGGTATCTGAGCCTTTAGCTATGATCTTTGAAAAATCATGGCAGACAGGGGAGATTCCAGAAGACTGGAAAAGGGCAAATATTGTGCCCATCTATAAAAAGGGGAATAAGAACAACCCAGGAAATTATAGACCGGTCAGTTTAACGTCTGTCCCAGGGAAGATAATGGAGCAGGTAATTAAGGAAATCATATGCAAACACTTGGAAGGTAATAAAGTGATAGGGAATAGCCAGCATGGGTTTGTGAAGAACAAGTCATGCCAAACTAATCTGATAGCTTTCTTTGATAAGATAACGAGCCTTGTGGATAAGGGAGAAGCGGTGGATGTCATATACCTAGACTTTAGTAAGGCATTTGATACGGTCTCGCATGATATTCTTATTGATAAACTAGGCAAATATAACTTAGATAGGGCCACGATAAGGTGGGTGCATAATTGGCTGGATAACCGTAGTCAGAGAGTTGTTGTTAACGGTTCTAAATCCTGCTGGAAAGGGATAACAAGTGGAGTTCCTCAAGGGTCTGTTTTGGGACCCGTACTGTTCAATATCTTCATCAATGATGTAGATATTGGGATAGAGAGTACGCTTATTAAGTTTGCAGATGATACCAAACTGGGTGGGGTTGCAACTTCTTTGGAGGATAGGGACATAATTCAGAATGACCTTAGCAAGTTAGAGAAATGGTCGGAGGTAAACAGGATGAGGTTTAATAAGGAGAAATGCAGAGTGCTCCACTTAGGAAGGAACAATCAGTTCCATACATACAAGATGGGAAGCGACTGTCTAGGAAGGAGCATGGCGGAAAGGGATCTAGGGGTCATAGTGGACCACAAGTTGAATATGAGTCAACAGTGTGATGCTGTTGCCAAAAAAGCAAATATGATTCTAGGTTGTATCAACAGGTGTGTTGTAAGCAAAACTCGTGAAGTCATTCTGCCGCTCTACTCTGCACTAGTTAGGCCTCAGCTGGAGTACTGTGTCCGGTTCTGGGCGCCACATTTCAAGAAAGATGTGGAGAAATTGGACAGGGTACAGAGAAGAGTGACAAGAATGATTAAAGGTTTAGAGAACATGACCTATGAAGCCAGGCTTCATGAACTGGGCTTGTTTAGTTTGGAAAAAAGAAGATTAAGGGGGGACATGATAGCGGTTTTCAAATATCTAAAAGGGTGTCACAAGGAGGAAGGAGAAAATTTGTTCCTCTTGGTTTCTGAGGACAGGACAAGGAGTAATGGGCTTAAAGTGCAGCAGGGGAGGTTTAGATTGGACATTAGGAAAAAATTCCTAACTGTCAGGATGGTCAAATATTGGAATAAATTGCCAAGGGAGGTGGTGGAATCTCCCTCTCTGGAGATATTTAAGAACAGGTTAGATAGACATCTGTCAGGGATGGCGTAGATGAAGCTTTGTCCTGCCTTGAGGGCGGGGGGCTGGACTCGATGACCTCTTGAGGTCCCTTCCAGTCCTATTATTCTATGATTCTATGTAACAGGGAGCATGGGACTTGGACTGTAAACTCTCTGGGGCAAATAAGTTTGACACATTAGTGGGTAAAGCCCAACCAAGAATAGGAACCTATTCAATAAACAACAAGCCTGCTGTGAAGTATGGCTAAATTAACAATTCTATCACAACAGAGATGGGGTGTGTGTCAAAACTCTTCAGTGAGTGACTAAATGTGCCTCTTCAATCTCTGGGAACTGAGCTGTTCCTCCAATTTCCACAGCCTCCCAACCATTATTAAAGCCCTTAACTTTCACAGAGAAAGGAGTCATAAGTTAAATTGTGGCAGTGAATCTGCAACAGTGACCAACACAAACTCTCCTCTCCCCTTTTCAGGGAGGCAAGTGCTTATGATGTCAAAAGGAAAGAAATGTCTTATGCAGGAAAGACTGACAGTGACTTAGGTGTAGCTTACATTTCCTATCTCTGAGTGAGCTACATTAACAGGTGCTCAGGCTCCATATGTGACTGCTAATGGAGGCATGCTCAACAAAGTGAGTAGAAAATGCTGTGCTGTCTTACATAAGTTTCTAGGTATCACGGCTCTCCTTTCCTGAAAAGAATCACATGCAATTTTACAGACTTACTTATGGGGGACAGTGCTCCCCCCCTTCCAGAACAGACAGGCAATTTGCAGACACACACAACCTTGGATTTGAAAGCAAGCCAAAAGTTCTATTAGCTCAGCCTTGAACAGAAACACTGTGAAGTTTCTGGGCTTGGATTTTTTAAACAATAATTAGGTTCCTTGGAAGACACATTTAACCCTTAGGGTGCAGGTTTTACAAATTTACAATGTATAGATTTTATTTTTTTATGTGGTTAACCAATTAAGTTTTAGTAGAATTTCTTATTTTCTTTTTAATAGATTTAACAAAGTGTCTGTAGCCAAATGTTTAACTTGACTGTTTTATTGCTAAGATGATTAAAAGAGGCTGCAAGAAACAAGGAGTTATTTTTTAAAGCAGGGTTTTTTTTCCCCCTCCCTCTTAGGATTTGGAGGAACACTTTTCTTAAACTGTTAAACTTATTTTAAACTTTGTGTTTTGCTTTGGATCGGGCAAGTTTATTACAGGAGCCCGTGTTTTCAAAGGGAAGAGCTAATTCCTTTCAGTTATTTTTTATGTTTTCTCTCTATCTGTGTATGTGTTATAAAGAGGGATAGAGGGGTGATGTTGTGCCAAATTTTCCCCCTAAGTTTGGTTGATATGGGTGTGCCAACTGAGAAATTTTTTTTTCCACTTTTTGTGCATTATTTTGGCACAGAGGTGCTGCAGCAACTTTTAAGTTACCTATCTTACTGCAGGGAGGATTTTTGCTTTTTTGAGCTTTACTTTTATCCCTTAGGGCTTTCATTTTTTTTTAATTTGTTAAATGCTTACAGGTCCTTGGACCATTATGCACGTACATGTAGTACACAGGGGTGCCTTTCGGCAGAGTGGGGGGTGTTTAGACTAACCCCCACTTAAACTAACTTTACACACTCCAAAGAAAGAGTCTGCCAGGTCTAGAGTGTTAGACCTTAGCAGCTCATGAAATAAAGGGAGTTGTCACTCCCTCACATATCCGCTGAGTCTCGAGGTTCAGCTGACCCCCCCCCCTTGCGTTCAGAGCTCCCTCGTGGGAGAGCCCTGGTGCAGCTGGGATTAGCTCAAGTCTCAGACCTATGCAGCGGCATTTATTCTTTACTTATTACATTTATACTCATTTTTCACACACAATTTTTTTCTCCTTTTTCACATTTTTCCTACAGTTTCCACATTTAGATGCATCTTAATTTATTGTTTAGTTCCCATGGGTTTTTATTAAGTGACGCTGCCCTAAGACACCCGGCACTTAATATTAGACTTTATTAGGATCCTATACCAGAAAACACTTATTATAAAGGCACTGGAATTTCTGTAGACTGACCTACCCGCATTTTCTGCGCGCGCTTAATTTTGTAAGGCACCGAACTAAAAGTCCGCCTGCTTACACCTTCTGCTAGTCACTGAATCAGAATCCGCCTGCTCGCTCTGCGAGTCACCGAATCAGAATCCGCCTGCTCGCTCTGCGAGTCACCGAATCAGAATCCGCCTGCTCGCTCTGCGAGTCACCGAATCAGAATCCGCCTGCTCGCTCTGCGAGTCACCGAATCAGAATCCGCCTGCTCGCTCTGCGAGTCACCGAATCAGAATCCGCCTGCTCGCTCTGCGAGTCACCGAATCAGAATCCGCCTGCTCGCTCTGCGAGTCACCGAATCAGAATCCGCCTGCTCGCTCTGCGAGTCACCGAATCAGAATCCGCCTGCTCGCTCTGCGAGTCACCGAATCAGAATCCGCCTGCTCGCTCTGCGAGTCACCGAATCAGAATCCGCCTGCTCGCTCTGCGAGTCACCGAATCAGAATCCGCCTGCTCGCTCTGCGAGTCACCGAATCAGAATCCGCCTGCTCGCTCTGCGAGTCACCGAATCAGAATCCGCCTGCTCGCTCTGCGAGTCACCGAATCAGAATCCGGGGTTAGCCTCAGAGGTCAGTACTACGCCCACAAATAACAGAGAGAGACAACAACGCTTCCCCACAGTTCCGTGTGCCGAGAGAGAGTAATGGCACCACACCAGCTTTTAGCGTCCAAACTCAGAGGGTCCAGCGCATGGCTGCCTCACTAGAGACACCGGTGTGCCCTTTTGGAACTGTGACACATAAGACAGGCCTAATAGACAAAGACAGACACAGACAGACAATAATGTTAGCCGCTACACAAAATTGAATTTTGTAGCTCCCCTTACCCCGATGGCCGGCCGTCACTCCAAATCCCAAGCCCTCACCAGGAGATTTCGTAACAGGTATTCCCTTTACCTTTTATTGAGCGCTCTGAGAGGTTTGGAAGTGGAGTGCCGGTCCGTTCATACGGGCAAGTGGCGCGTTAGGAATCTCGGTGGAGCCTCCAAATTGTCGAAGCAAAAACACGCTCCTCTGTGTTTAGGCAGCTAACAAACAGCTTTATTAATTAATAAAGCACAGCATGAGCCAAACGTGGTCACAGCAGAGCCGGGCCCAGTAAGGCTGCTAATACAATTAATCCTAGTATCTTTATACCCTTAGCCAAACAGTCTGACGTTAGGGCATCCAATTACAGACATTTTTAATTAAATTTGGAAAAACAAAGCCTTATCAACAAGATGGCAGACAGGTATGAGGGAGTACATCTCCTGTCCCAACCAGCCCAATTAACACATACCAATAGCCCATCCTGTAGGCCTCTTCTCACGGGGTGACAGAAAGTTCACTCTGGTCTACGTGCTTGAGAGAAAAGCTGAAATGGTTTCTGATATACAAGATGGTTTCTAGCTAAATATGAAAATAGCTTCTACAGCTTCTACAGGGGTATAAATAAGGGATACATGCAGGGTCCAAGTCGATATCCTGCCCATCTCTAACCAGGCCTCTCACTATCCAGGGCAGTGTGATTGCTGGCCAGGTTTCTCCTTGGATGCAGAGAGGCGTTTGCACCAGCAGTACAGTTATGCTGTGTTGCTGCAGGGCTGCATTTCTGGCCCCAGCTGTGCCTTTCTTTCACTATCAAAGATGGAAGATCTGAAGAGAACACACAGGGATATACCTCTGAGAGGAGAATGACAGGGCAGGGCATTGTAGTTGTTGGCCCTGGTATAGACCTCAGGGATGTTGCTCAGTAGCTCTTGGGAGATCTAATTTAAACTGCTTGATGGTCCGAGACCCCTGAATGGAGGTCCAGATTTACAAGTATTTGGATTCACAGTACAGGCAGTCCCCGAGTTACGCGGATCCGACTTACGTCGGATCCGCAGTTACGAACGGGGCACTTCCTCTCCCTGGTCTCGAGCAGACCAGGGAGAGGAAGCAAAGCGGCGGCGGAACGCGCGGCCAGCTGACAGCCCAGACGCGTCTGGGCTGTCCCGCTGCCCCCGTGCTCCGCGGCTTTGCTCCGGCCGCCTGTGGTACAGCAGCTGGGGCGCTGCCGGTTGGTCCCGTAGCACCGCTCTGGGTGCCACTGGACCAACCCAGCAGCACCCCAGCTGCTCTGCCCCAGGTGTCCCCTAGTCAGCAGCTGCTGAAAATAACAAGTGGCTG